GAAAGGAGATTCTGGGGAATGTAGTTTCCAGATTAACTAAATTGACAGCAGCACAATCCAAGACACTCCATGACTATCTGACTACATTAATTCTGAGAAGTTCTTCAAAGGCCCAGAGAAGATGTCAGAGAAGATCCAGGATATAGCCTGGGGACACTGACAAGCAAAGCCTTGAGGTTTCTGGGTCTGTAGTACAGCCTTTGTTTGTTTGCCTCAAGCCTTGAAGGAGAAGGAGGTTATTGGTTAGGGAATTAGGATGCTGCAGTTATTGGCCTGAAGTCACTACTCGGTAGATAATGACCTGGCCTGATTCGTTTAAATCATGTGACTTTCAAGGCTTCCCATTATAAAATGAGAACAGGGGCATCTGGGTGGCTCAATCGGTTAAGCGTCTGCTTTCAGCTCAGGTCATGGTCCCAGGGTCCTGGGATGGAGCCCCACATTGGGCTTCCTGCTCAGTGGGGAGATTGCTTCTCCCTCTACTCCTCTCCCCATTTGTACTCTCTCTGGCTCGCTCTCTCTCTCTGTCAAATAAATAAAATCTTTCAAAAAATAAAATACAAAGGTAAAATAAAATGAGAACCATCATTCCTGAGCTACCTTCTCCATGCATTGCTCCAAGGACTGGTAGATAGCTGTCAGTGTATCTGTTCAACTCTGATGAAATGACTTTACAGACATGTGGAGAGCAGCCGCAGCTATCCTCCCACAGAAATTGGGCCAACGTGTCTACTGCCCTGCCTTAGTTTTGCCAAGGTTTGTGCGGTTTATACAGGTGAAAATTCATAGAAAACAGACTCTGGCTTCTTCTCCTTAGATCTCTCTTCCCAGCTCCCTGTCCTCAACAGAACCCCTTTCCTATGGCAGGTGGTAGTGGGGAGGAAGGGACAGTTGAGACCCTGACTACCTCTCGGATTTCACTATTCCCTCAGCATGAGAGCTACTGCCTGCCCTCCACCTACTATTTCCATCTCCTTGAGTCCTATTCATCTTTCAGGCCTCAGCTCGAAGAACATTCTCTTTTTCCTAAATGTTTTATGATTTCCTTCAGCTCAATGTCATTTTTTTTCCTTCTTTGACCCCCTGGGGCTTCCTATCTTTCACTGCAATAACTATGACCTGACAATTCCCTAACACATACCCACTTGAGCATTTATATTATTCTCCTACTAAATTTCACTTTCCTCAAGGCAGGGGACTTGCTCTTTAAGCTCATGCAACAAATAAATAATTTTTGGCATCCTCCACACTATAGTCCAGACAGAATTTGGTATATATATATGTACTTTTGAATTGAGTTGAAAGAACACAAATTGAGGACATGCATCCATGTGTTGGCACCCTAAATGATAATAGCCTGAAAGGATATGGTTCCCATAATAAGAAATAGAAAAATGAAGAGTCTGTGATCCCCAGCCAGATGGTTCTCTATTATGAATTTCATGTCTTCATTTGATAAGGTACTTCTCTCCATCATGTTAATATGATGACCCTAGAAATGAGACAGTCCAAACAGAAGCAAGGGTTCAATCTTCTGCTTGTAATCGAGGTAAATGATTTCTGTAGAATTTTATAATTCATAACAGGGACTACAAATATTAACCAAGGTCAGTGACCCCCCCCACCCCTGTCTGGGTAGGAGCTGTCACTGAGCCACATCCTCTCTGGGAGACAGTCCATGCACCCAAGATAAAGTTTGAAGAGGCCCTTGAGCCAGAAAAGTTGTTTTGGCAAAGTGCCTATGTCTTTTGTCATGTACTCTCTGGGTTGGTGGGTTCCTTTCTTCTGGGTCAGAAGAGTTCCAACAGCAAAACTGATATCAGGAAATGCTTGTGGTTATCTCTCTACTCCTGAGCAAGTCACTGGCCGTCTTTGGACCTCAGTTTCCTCTGGAGGGGGGTTGAAATAACTTTTAAATGTCCCTCTTTCCCAGCTCTGATATTCTAAGACTCTATTCTGAGCTGCAGGCTGAATTCCTAAGCTTCCAGAGCCTTTTCTTCCCTGCTCCTAAAGGTAGAGATGGCTCAGATTTTCCATAGGCCTCAGCCAGAACATGCTTACCTGTTCTCTGCAATAGTGTGGCTCTGCATGTGATGACTGTTTATCTGCCATTATGAAAATGTCCTTTATCCTGCAAGTTACAAGAGAGTTTATTATCACAGATCTCCATGTTACCTCTGGTTGGTACTACAGAGAGTAGCTACATGGAAAGTGTCCACTCTACAGAAACTTTGGGGATATCAAAATACAGAAAGGAAGCTGTCGAGTCTGGAAGTGTTAATGCTCAAGGCATCACTATTCATTAAGTAGCTGGCTTGGTATTACATGGTTCTAGATCACGAAGAATTTCAAGTTCATCGAGTTCTTCAAAAGAAAGCAATCAGTGTGTTGAAACTCCTGCTCACCATCTTCTAGTTGGCCTATTGAATGTACGGGCATGATGACTTGTTAGAATACCAGTACGTCAGATTGGAAGAGGATATATAGCTCAGCTAGTTCAAACCCCTGCTCTACCAGGTGGATAGCTGAGAACTAGAGAGCAGGCAGTCATGGAACAGTTTACGGTAGTCAGGAACAGGCCCAGGACCTCCAACTGCCAGGTCTATCTACCTTATACTACTCCAAAATAGAAGTCACCAAGACAGTGGTCTCCCCTTCATGCCTATTTTAAGCCTTCACTCTAAACCTACTTAGTCTTATTTTTATTAAGTTCTAATAAGAGCAGCTTAACTAATTTCTATTTTACAACACATTTCAGTTAACAAACTGATTAAAAAAAAAGACACAAAATAAAACACTATATAAGGGAGACAGAAGAATTGCAAAGGCATTATGGTCTGGGGTTGTTCCATGCAGGGCAGGTAACATGACACAACACGATATCCCCAAGGTGGTTGACATTCATAATAATGTCCCTGGATCACCAAAAAGGGTTAGCATGTTTCACCTAAGAAAGCAGGGATTTGTATAAAGCACTTTGAAAGGGGGGCCTGGGTGGCTCAGTTGGTTAAGCACCTGCCTTCAACTCAGGTCATGATCCCGGGGTCCTGGGATCAAGTCCCACATCTGGCACTTGTGCAGTGGAGAGTCTGCTTCTCCCTCTCCCTCTGCTGCTTCCCCCCTCTCGTATTCTCTCCTCTCTTGCTCACTCTCTCTCTCAAATAAATAAATAATTTTTTGAAAAAATAAAGCACTTTAAAAAGCATTACATCAAATAATAATAATAATAATAAATTAGTTATAGTCAGATAAAACTTCAGCTATCTGGAAAACTCAGATAACCAAAATAATAAACCAGCCATGGTGGTCGAAGAAGTGACTGTGTGCAGATAGGTACAGTCTACAGTAATAAGGCTGGTGTGAGTTTGGCCAGTATCTGCAGAGAAGAGAAATAAACAGCAAAGCCATGATCTCATCTTCTGTTTACACTTCAGTTCCCAAAGTTAGTGATTAATTGTCCTTGTGCTTTGTTGCCAAGGCAAATTGTTTTTCTTTAAAACTTCCACTTATCTTAAATAAATAAATCATTAGTTTCAAAACAGAAGTGTCAAATGTCAAGATACTTCTGACATACTAAGCTAATGAACAAAACAATGAATGCATTAGAAGCTACTAGAGATAGGCAGAGCCTTTGAGAACTTTCCTTTAATGACTTTGAAAGGCAGCAGGATCATTCTAGCTAAGAGATTTTCTCATGCATCTTGGCTAAAATGTTAATCTAGAGGTTGCCAACACAAACACAACCTCTAAAGAAGCCAGTTAGTGTAAATGATACAGTGGTAGGTAGACCAAGTATGCATACATAGTCAAATACATATACCAACCAGCTACTATATCACGCTTCCCAAACCAAACTCATACAATGTCAGCTTATGCAACCAGTTCAGTATCTGTACTTGGGTCTCTGAATTTACACAGGGCCTCCGGCTCTTCCAAAGTAGGGAATTCTTTCAGCAAATAGGTCATTTTTGCCTCTGAGTCTTAACACAAACACAACCATTTCAGAGAAGATTCCAGTCATTCCTGAATTATGAAGACCACCTATTAAATATAGTTCTATTTACTCAATTTCCCTTTTCAGACATTTTCGTGTCTTTCCTTTACTCACAGAAGGAAGAGTCACACAGCATTATTATGGTATTCAAGCTCGGTCATCTTTTTTTTTTTAAGATTTATTTATTTATCTGAGAGAGAGCATAAGCAGCTCAGTCATAATCTCATTTCAACCTATCCTGCAATGTACTTCTCCTTCTATAATCCCCACAGACTCCCTGGCTTCTCATTGTTCTCAGAACAGCCCTCAAATTTTAGTTCTTGACAACAAACATTTGTTGGGTAACTGCTATGCGCCAGGTCTCCCTCCACCTCCACCTCCAGGCACTGAAAACGCATCTGCAAAGAAAACAGTGTCCGCTCTCCTGCAGTTTCCATTCTGATGGGATCTTTCATCTCCTTCCGAAGTGCGCGTTCCCAGTGCTTGTGTTCCCGCTGAAGCCCTTGTCGCACTGTACAATATCCCTGTGTGTGTGTTTCTGTCCATCTAAACCCTGTCTCCGCATGCACAGCTCCCATGCTTTGCTCACAGGCAGGCACCCACTGAATGCTCAGTGACTGACCTGCAGTTCGTCTCTCTTCTTTGGAAATGTGGTCAGTTTCTGTTGCATATGGAATCTACCCGTGAGGTTCTCTAACTCTTTCTGAATTCTAAATATTGAGTTATTTTCAATAAATAAGCCATTTTGCTGTCTATAGGAATGACAGATGTCAAGCTACTTCTGATGGACTTATATAAGTGAATGAAGCACCGACTAAACGGGCACATAGACTTAACCCATACTGCGTGATTCCTCAAGTCCCAGAATCTTGCATCCCCTTTCTCTGGGTTTCTCAGCCTGCCTGGTGTACTCATGGGAAGGCTCTCCCTCTTTTCTCCTGGAGACCAGCAGGGAAGTTAATTTGGGAAGCTACTTATCTTGTTCCCTCTCTCTTTGACCCCAAAGGTAGAAACAGAAGAGCAGGTGCTGGCAACGTTCTGTGGCCAGGAGACTACAGACACAGAGCAGACCCCTGGCCAGGAAGTCGTGTTCTCCCCCGGCTCCTTCATGTCCATCACCTTCCGGTCAGATTTCTCCAATGAGGAGCGATTCACAGGCTTTGATGCCCACTACATGGCCGTGGGTAAGTTGCAGAAGTGGATGGCTCATCCCCAGGTCTCCCTTTCTCTCTAAAAACTAAAAGTACCATAAGCTCTCTTCTTCACAAGGAACACATACATACTCACCATGGAGATTCTGCCATTAATGTCTTACTGCATTTGCTCTATCACATATCTACCCATTTATCTTCTATCTATCCATCAATCCATCTTTTTTGCTGCATTTCAAAGTAAATTACAGACAGCAGTACACTTTTTCCTAAATACTTTAGCATGCAAATCATTTTGGTGAAGAGCAATACCTATCTACAATTTTCTTTCTTTGAATGTAAAATTTTTATTCAATGAAATGTACAAGCCTAAGCACACTTGTTGATTTTTGAGAAATTTATTTGTATGTGACCCAAACCCCTGATAAGATATTGAACTTAACCATTAACCCAGAAAAATTCCCTTACATTCCTTCCCAATCACATTCTGCTCCCATCTCCCTTAGAGGCAACAACTGTTCCAATTTTTTTTCCAACATAGATTAGTGTTGCCTCTTCTGAAACTTCATATAAATGAACATACACAAAATATATTCTGGAAGTGAGGATTCTTTTACTCAGGATAAAGTTTCTGAGGTTCGGTCATGTTGCAACACATTGATAATTCGTTCCTTTCCTGGCAGAGCAATTTTCTATTGTATGAATATTCTACAATCTGTTTATCCATTCTTCCACTGATGGACACCTGCGCTCTATCCATTCTTTGGCTCTCATTACAGAGGTTCTCATTAAAGAGGTTTCCTGTACTAGCCTTTTTCTGGACATATGTTTTCACTTGTATTGGGTAAATATCTAGGAGTAGTATTATTGGGTCATAGGGAAGGACTATATATTAATTTTACAAGAAATTGCCAGACCTTTCCCAAAGGATTTTTGTACCATTTTATATTCCTTCACCAATGTATCAGGGTTTGATGCTGTCAATTTTTCAATTTTTAAAATTTAAAATTCTGGCGGGATATGTAGTGGTACCTCATTATGGTTTTGACTTATATTTCCCTGGTGACTAATGATGTCAACCATTTTTTCATGTGCCTTTTGGCCATTCCTGTATCTGTTGGGGAATAATATACCATTAAATCCTTAAATCGGGTTGAGAACATACGTTTTAATGTTTACATTTCCACTGCTGAGGGAAGTGACGTAGAGAGAGAGGCGCAGCATGGACTAGACGTGAAGAGTGAGCTCTGGAGCCAGCCTCCCTGGCTGTGAATGTTGACTCCACCACTTACCATCTCTGTGATGTGGAGTAAGTTCTTTAAAGGCCCCAAGTCTCTGTTTCATCATCTGTGGAATGTGAATGGTAAGAGGGTAACAGTCCTGCTTGTTATTACCACAAGCATTAAAGGGTACTGGCACCATGAGGACTCAGCTTGCCTGGCCTTGAACCTGGCTCTCTGCCATCTTGGGTAAGTTGCCTTGTGCTGCTCTGAGTTCCAGTTTCCTCATTTGTAAAGGGAAGCAATGGCTACTTCTGGGCTTTATGTGAAGCTAGCACAGGGAGTGGCCCATACAACGTGCTCTGTAGATGGTGGCTGTCGTCTTCATCCTCACACATGGATTGATTGCCCTGCAGATGTGGACGAGTGCACTGAGCGGGAGGACGAGGAGCTGTCCTGTGACCACTATTGTCATAACTACATCGGCGGCTACTACTGCTCCTGCCGCTTTGGCTACCTCCTCCACACAGACAACAGGACCTGCCGAGGTGGGGCCCAGGGATCACACTACATATCACCATTCTGTGCCATGTTTTCCAATAAGATTAGGGGAGGCTCCGAGGAGGGACAGATACAGAGTAGGAACAATTAGAAATGAAGCCAGAGAGCTCTGCCTCAGATACCACATGGACGAAGGAGCTGAAATGCCCACCAGCTGGGAAGTCTGGGTTCAGGTTCCCAAAGGACCACATTTGAGAAGCCCTAACCTCTAGGCCCTCTTTCTTCCTCGGCAGCAGGAATTTATGCTCTCCTACTGTAGGTAACAAGTCTGGCCAAGTTATGGGAAAACCTGGGTTTCCTGGTCCCCGTGCTCTGAGCCATGAGCTTGGCCTCACACAGCAATTCCTTTTCCTCCTCACTCCCATGGCCTCCCAAGTTCCTCTGTGATCAAAAGAACCTCAGTCCAAAGGAAAGATGTGGGAAGAGAGAGGCAAAGAGAGACAGCAAGAAAATGCCCCATTCCTTCTCTCTTCATCTTCCTGTCTAGTCAACATGCCCACCCAGCTGTTGCGTCCAGGCAGGGCAGCAATGGAGAAATGGACAAATAGAAGGCTTCAGCCACTTTCCCTGAGGGCCTCCCTGGCTAGTGGGGTCATTGCCACAGAAGAAAATGGCGAAATGTAATCAGTGCTGTAAAAGAAGTGTGGGCTCGGCACAATCTTACCTGAGTCTACACTGCATAGTGAGCAGACATGTCCCAGAGATGGTGACCCTTGGCAGAGAAGGAAGACGACGGAAAAGGAGGGTGCTTCAGGCAGAGAGAAGAGCTTCTGCAAAAATTCAGAGTCCTGATAGAACGTGGCATGTCTGGGGCATTGACAGCAGATTAGTATGGATGGTTACAGGGTAAGGATCTGTGTTTTAGGAGGGTCTCATGGAAACCAAGTGGGGGATCATTGGAGGAGAGCAAAACTGGAAGCAAGACTTCCTTTCCTTCCTCCTTCAAAAGCTTTCCTTGCTTCTAGGGGAAAACAAGACAAAACAAAACAAAACCCATGTGACTCATCATTATAAAGCAGGCACATACAGGAGGTTTCTTCAAGAGGGCTGTATTTTCTCTGCTTTTCATTCTGGAGGTGTTTATTGAGTATCTACTACATGCTAAGTACAGTGAGGGCTGAGAATGAGTAGAGCTCCTCAATCTTTGTTTTCAGTTTCTCCTCTGCCTCCAGGAGACTTTTTAAACATTATCTTCCTAATTTCCCCTAGCTGTGAAATCTTAATACCACAGGTAATACTATATATGTGTTTATGTACTCTGTCCATCGGTGTATTATGAATAAAAAGAGTAATCCTTCCAAAAAAACCCCAAACAATTTTAGCCCCCATGGGGGCGATGTCACCCCCCAGAGAGTGCTTGGAGTAGGAAATGAAAAAAGATGAGGATTCAAGAGGATTCAAGATTCTCTTAACCATGCTCTGCAGCTCAAAGCTATAGGACTTCAGGTTAACCGTGCCCCCTCTCTGAGCCAGTTTTCTCACTTGCAAACGAGCACAATAAATAGGGGCTTAGAAAGGATTGACATCCCATATTTAAGATGGGTCAGCCCAAGGAGAAAGTTTTGGTGGCCAATAAAGGGCCTTTGCAGGGCTAAGCTATGGCCATGATCCCAGGACATTGGGTCCTTTGTTGCAGCTACAGTGGGGAACAAAGCAGAATCCCTGAGCTCAGGGAACTTACAATTTAGTGGGGGCAAGAAAATCCACCAGCGAATATACTGCATAATGTCAGGTAGTAGTCAGCAGCAAGAGGAGAAACAGCAAGGTTAGACACCAAAGAGTGAGGGTATGTGTGAGGGTCCTGTGTTGGATGAGGGATCAGGAAGACTTTGAACAGAGAATGGAGTTCTGGGCTGAGGGGAGAAGAAAAGAAGGTCCACTTGATTCTCCCTCCCACTCTGTCTCAAAACCTTTCCATCTCAGACCTCTCCTTTCCCCTCACCAATACCAGAGAATCTGATGAGAAGGCTTTCACACTTACTGCCTTTGAACCTTGACTCTGAAAATTACTAGGTGTGTGATCTTGGATAAATTAATTCTACCCATCAATAAAATAGGGATAGTGATGCCTTCCCTGATTGCTTCTCAGGACCAGTGGGAAAAATATAGTAACAGATAAGAAAGGGATTGCTGTGGGCTTGGTTTTGGTGTGCCACTTTGCTCTGGTATGTTCCCACAGTGGAGTGCAGTGACAACCTCTTTACCCAGAGGACCGGCGTGATCACCAGCCCTGACTTCCCCAACCCTTATCCTAAGAGCTCAGAATGCTTCTACACGATAGAGCTAGAGGAGGGTTTCATGGTCAGCCTGCAGTTTGAGGACATTTTTGACATTGAGGATCATCCTGAGGTGTCCTGCCCCTATGACTACATCAAGGTAAGCCTACAATGGACGCTTGCCCTGGGGATGCTGGGAAATCTTGGCTGAATTGGGAAAATTGATATCGTTGGCCCTTTATCTTCTCCCAGGATAGGGGACCAAGCTGCTTGCTTCCCAAAAGGTCATTATTTAAAATAGCATCTACCAGCTTAATCGGATCCAGCCTAGGGATCTTCCCTGATTGAATGCTAACTTCTTGGTTAAAAGAATCCCTTTTGCCAAGTTATATGACATCATCATGAAGTAATACCAGATGTGAAGGTCATGGGGACCATCTTAGAATCCTGCCTACCACACACAGTAGCCCAGGAGCTATGCTGTAAGCCTTCTCCAGGCACTTAATTTCATGGGGCTTCACTTTTCCCCCCATCCACAATAAGGGTGATAAGATAGAGATATCGCCCAGGATTGTAGAAGTCACCAGATGAGGGCTTGGGAGTCCTGATTCTTGGAGAAGGAAAGAAAAAGAGTTAGAGACACAACCTGGGCCTGGGAGTCCGAAAATCCAGATCAGCTAATAGTGCCTACTTCCTTCTCTCCATTCCCCACTGACGGCCCCCAGGCCAAACCCCATCATCTCTGTTGCAAAGCTTCCAGCTGGTTTTCTTGTTTCCACCCTTGCCCTACATTGTCTGCTCTCCACGGCTTCGAGGCTGAGCTTTATAAAAGCCAGATTAAATTGGGATTGTTCTTGGAAGTAAATGTAAATTCCTCAACACCATGTGGTGTTTGCCTGCCTTTCCTACTTCATGCTATGGTACTCCCTCTGCTTCAGCCACTCTGGCTTCCTTTCTGTTCTTAATACTTGCTGGGCCCTTTCCCACCTTTGATCTTAACCTTTACATATGCTGTTTTCTCTGCCTGGAAAGTATTTTCCCCTCTTCCTTATGTCTTAAATCCAACCAAAGAAGCCATCTGTGACCACCTATTTGAAGTTTTATTACAAAATTAAGTAAAGTTTAATCTAATATATAAATAATAAATTAGGTTACACAGATTTTACCACATAAATTATAAATATATAGGATATATTTATATTATATGTATATATCATCCTGATTATTTTTTATAATTTGTGCCACCGCATGTAATTATTTTGCTTGTCATTTATTGTTAGTCCCACTCCCCCATCCCTGCCATCCTTGACTAGACTGCAGATTCTGTGAGAGCAGAGTCCCTTTCTATCCTATGCCCCTGGACAGGGCTCTGTCCCTTTCTGAGCCTGGAATGTTCATCTCTGAGAAGAGAGTTATTAGCCTGCCTCATCCACTACCAAGATTGTTGTAATCTGTAAATGAGAGAGTGGAGATGGAACTCTTTGGTGAATGGTGATGCCCACTAAAAACACACTAGGGGTTCATATGGAGGCTTCCAGAAAACCAGGGTGCAGTATAGAGATGGTCCCAGCAGCTGCTACCACTGCTCAGATGTAACCCTTTATCTCCATCTTGCTCCTCATAGATTAAAGCTGGTCCAAATGTTTTTGGGCCCTTCTGTGGAGAGAGAGCCCCAGAACCCATCAATACCCAGAGCCACAGCGTCCAGATCCTGTTCCGCAGCGACAACTCAGGGGAGAACCGGGGCTGGAGGCTCTCGTACAGGGCGACAGGTAACACGGCCTCTCTCTCTGTGGGTCATGCTTGGTCACTGTGCTCAGCCCTCATGGGGCAGTGGCTGAGAGATGAGGGGTACAGACTTGGGACTCCCCTGGGGTTGTGCAGGACCCCCAGCTCTGCTACAGAGGAGTGTGGAACCAGGTACATTCTCTCTCCTGACTCAGTTTCCCATCCATAAAATAGGGACAAGAGAAGCAATAATGGTGGGTTTAGACTAGACATAGCTTTCAAACTTACTACACTTCAGAATCACATAAGCAGATTTAAAAAAACAACAAACAAAACCCCACCTTGTTTCCTAAACTCTACTCTTTCACACTGATTCATTGGGCCTGGAGAGAACCATCCCAGTTCAGCTCTCTCCAAGACTGGGGCAGGGATGTGAGTGTGGGCCCATAGCTCGTAATGTTTCATCATGGCGGTTTGACGCCTGTGGCCACAGACTGGTAGCACCCACAGGCAACATTCGCCAGTACTCCAAGGCAGCCTGTCCTGGCCCAAACTCTGGGAGAGCCATTTGCCCCAGCAGTCTGCAGTAAACTGAGGAAGAAGAGGGTGCTGGGTGTGGCTAATCCAGCTCATAGATCTGATATCCTGATCTTTCCTGCATTATCACACTGGTGTCCAATTCTAGGGAGAGTTTGTCCAGGAAAAATTGTCAGGGGCAAACTCAGGCCTGGGAATCCTGTCCAAGGTAGCCTTTGGAAGGGAAAGCTCAGAGGCATATGGTCGCAGTCTCTCTAACACTTTGAAAAATGGTCTTGGGGAGAAAAAGCAATTAGAGTCATCCTGAGCAGCCCAAGAGGACAAATTCTGCCCTGTAAGAGCAAATTACAAGGAGACAGATTTTAGTTGAATAGAAAAATACTGTTCCTTTGATTAGAGTCTAGTAAGAAAGGTAAAGGTTTGCTAGGTATTGAGTTCCCTGTCACTGTAGGAATACAAAAAGATGTTTGGTGTCTACTATGGAAGATGTTATAAAGGCAAACTCAGACAAGGGTTGCACTCAGTGACACCTAATATCCTGCTCAACCCTGAGTCATGACAAAATCGTTTGGCCAACCACCTCATTTTACAGATGAGGAACTAGAGGTCCAAGTTGGAAAGTCACCTGCTCAAGCTTCCAGAATAACTCTTCAGGGCCTAGAAGGTGCAGGCCCACAGCACCCAGTTCTGTGGGTTTCCCCTGCACCACACCTTGCACCCCAGGGGCCAGCTGCCTGTTGCAGACTTTTCCCTGTTTTCTCACCCACTGTCCTTTCATTGCTCTCACCAGGGAATGAGTGCCCAGAGCCACAGCCTCCTGTCCATGGGAAAATCGAGCCCCTACAAACCACATATTCCTTCAAAGACCAGGTGCTCATCAGCTGTGACACAGGCTACAAAGTGCTGAAGGTACAGGGTCCTGCTGGGGGAGGAAGAGCCACCAGGCCTGAGGAATGCTCCAGGGCCTCCCAAGGCCGATGGGCTTCCAGAGCTTGTCATGGTCCCACCACAGGATTCCCTAACTTCCCCTTAAACTTCCAACGTGTTCCAGAAATTCCAGTCCTTTGAAAATCCAAAGCAGGCATCCCAGATTTTCACCTCTGGAAATGGCACAGAAGTCTTCTATCAGAGCTTGGGCTGATTTGAATATCAAAAACAAATCAAGATCCATTCATCCCTACAATCAGGACAGACAACATTAACAAAGTTCATCAATCAGGCCTACTGGGGGAGACCGGGACAGGAAGGAGAGATTTTAGAGGCGGCAGACAGATAGTGCTCACTATCCTAGGAATCACCTGGCTGATTTAAAAATAATATGAATTGACCTCACAGGCCCCTCACTTGAGATGAATTAAAGCAGAATCCCTGGGTAAGTGTCGGTGATTGGTTTTTTGTTATGTTACCCAGGTGAGACTGGTGTGAGCCAAGCTAGAGGAAGGTTCTCAAGGAATGAGTCTCCATGTAGGGTCCCCACCACAGCATCACATCACTTATTAGAAATCCAAGTCATGCTCTCCAAGCCAGGCCCACTGAAACAGAAACTCTGGGGGCCAGGGGGTGGGGGGGGTGCAGTGGTCTGTGCAAAAGATAGAGATGTCTACTATGTTTGAGAGCCACAGCTCTAGAACGGAGTCAGAGGTACAGTGTTCCCCTTTCAGACAGTTGTCCAAGCCCTTTCTTCCACACAGTCCTTGCCCCTCTCCAGAGTAGGAACGGGGACCATGAATTCAGCATCTCTCTATTTCCTATCGTCGACCTTGCCCTTGGAGGACCGTGGTTAGAAAATCTCGGTCAAGGACAACTGGCTTTGGAATTTGAGCTGGTTATACTGGGAAACAACCTCCTTCTTCCCACATCTTCTTCATGTTTTTTCCTAGGATAATGTGGAGATGGATACATTCCAGATCGAGTGTCTGAAGGATGGGACATGGAGTAACAGGATACCAACCTGTAAAAGTAAGAAAACAAAATTAGTCTGTGATAAAGATAATGAGCTCCCCAGCACTGGTGGGTTCTAACCAGAGACCACACAAAGGTGAAAACCTAACAGGTGCTCTCAAAGAAGGTTGGGGGCAGGAATTCGGCAAACACATAAGGGCTAGACCAAAAGGCTATTGTTTCTCTGGGCAATAAGATATCAAGATTCTGAAGGAACCTTCTTGTTGGTCCCAGTTTACTTCCTAAATACTAATTTCACCTCTGCCTACAGACAGGTTGCCAAACTTGCTAAAGGAGTAGCTTGTCCCCAGGTTTGAAATGAGCTCTGACCATTGCTAATTAAGGAAACTATTTCAGCACCAGTGCCCAGAGCTCAATGACCTTGCCAGTCTCCGTGTGGCCATCAGCCATACCCACTAAGGTTTCTGGAACAGCTCATGATTTAGGGCCTGTCAGGAAAGGCTGTGAGGTTAGTGCAGAGGGTCTGTGTAAAGCAGGGGACACAGCTCTGTATTGGCTCTTGAGACCCAGAGTTCTTGCAGTGGCTCTGCTCCTCACCCACCTTGCAACCATGGACAAGATCCTTCACCTCAAATTAAAATAAAAAGTTGAACTAGCCTTAATACTCTAGAACATATTGGGGGCATTTCTCAAATACTGCTCACTTAGTGAGCATTGTAAAAATATACCAGCCGTCACACTGTCCCCTTATCCAGGTAGTTCTAGTTCAAGACTTGTAAAGACTTTTACAAGTTTTAGAAAACTCATTACAGCAGGACTAAGGAAGGGAGGTGTGGTTATAGGAAGGGAAGGAAGAGAAGGACAAAGGGGAGGATTGGCTTTAGGCCAGAGAGGGGAGAAGTCAAGTGTTAGGGTTGGTCCTGTCCGGCCGCATTTCATGACTGCATATATACTGTGGTGTTTTTGTCCCTTCTTCTGAAAGGCTCAAATTCCCTAGGCAGGCAGAACCACTTGTGCAGCCTCCGTGGGACCCTGTCGGGGTGAACTCTCTTGAGGCAAATCCCAGGCAGAATGTTTGAGAATATTCTTGCCTTTAAAATTTTTTTAACAAGATGATGTGGCTGGAGTCAGAGCGCAATGTGGGAAAGGGGGGTATCTTATGGCTTCAACAATCATTTTCTGGGTGCCTCTAGGGAATTCAGATAGAAAAGACAAGGTTCAGAAACTGAGGAACTCAAATGCCAGAAGACACATCCCCCACCTCGTCCAACACGTGGCTCACGTGTAGTGCTATGACTGAGTTCTGTGGGAAGCACTGTGCAGGGCAAAGCAAGAGGGCATTCTGAAGGAGGAAGGAAAAGAGAATGTGGTGTGTAGAGGGTAGGGTAGTTTTAAAGTCAGGAAGTTCTAGATCAAATCCAGACTCAACCAGTTGAATGTCCCCAAGCCATGCACTCAGACTTTTGGCCTCAGTTTCCTGCATTCTTGATTATTCAAAGGACCAGTTGAGTTAATGTATATATCATACCTGTGGGACCAACTGGGAATAAATGAAAGCCCCATAAAAATGTCTTTCTCCCCCCTACCCCGCCGCCACCGCTCCACACCAAACAAACCTCCTCACTCGGCAGAGGCTTTTCTCTCACTTATGCTTTTGGAAGGCAGAAAACTTAAATAATAATTTTTCCCCTAATAAAGTATGCACGCTTTTTTAATGTAATGGAAGTTCTGGTAAGAGTAACACACTACTGTATTTGATGGTACCGTCTTATGTGACTTATGTTAGTATACTAAAGAATGCCTGTCATTTTGTACTAGAGAAAAGAAGAATTTTTTTTTTTCTCCTGAATATGACCTGGTTCTTCCAGGATAGCCTGGATTAGGATTCTTAGAATCCCCATTCAGACATTCCTGGCGTCTCTGCTCATTCACTGAGCAGGTTCCTACTAAGCATCTCTCTGCCCCAGGCACGTGCTAGGTCCTAAGGGAGTTATAAGGATGAGCAACACTGAGAAATTTCAAGCCCCGAAGGATTGTGGGGAAAGAGATGGGGAACAGACAAGAAGTGTGCATGTGTATTGAAGTCACTTGGGACAAGAAGTGGGAATTATGGGTGGTTGTCCGGACCCTGCCTCCAGCTTGCCATGGTGACCCAAGGCAAGTTCCACTCCACCCTTAATGTCGTATGCCAGATGAAGGCTTGGACCAGATGAATACAAAGCTCGTTCCAGGGGCAGAATGCTGTAATCCTTATGAGCCAGGACTTATGACTGTGCAAATTCTCAGAATGGTACAAATTCCACAATCCCAAACCCTCACCCACACCAGCTATACCTCAACTACATCCTTAATCAGCCTCGTGGGGCGATTTCTGTATTTCCTGCATGAACTGTTTCTGCTTTGCTTGCTAATTTTTCTCTTTCTCTTCTTTCTCTCTTTCTCTTCCTCTCTCTGCTTCCTTTGCCTGCACCTCCTGACCCTTCTTTGATCTTCACCCCAGTGGCAGAAACCGAAATGGATGAGGAGAACGAACTCGGGTCAGAGCAAGAGACAGAGTGAAGGACGGGACCCCACAGAGTGCAGACATCCAGGAGTGGACCACTCACGAGACCCTGGGGCCCCAGAGCTCCTGCACCCCTCCCCACCCCACCAACGCTCCATTTCCAATTCCTGTGCGGATTAGTGTGGGTGCTGAACAAGACAATACAGTCAAGCAGTTGAGACTGCTGTGTAGAGAACAGTTTTCCCCCCGGAGGGCTCACCCGTCATTCAGTCAGTACGCTAGAAAATAATGAAAGGATAAGGAGGATTTTTTTGTTTTTGTAAGCACCTCCAAGTGAACAGTACTCTTTTCAAAGGACAAATGACTTTGGTCCTCGAGACGCAAGATTTCATATCCAACCACATGGTCCTTTGGCTGACCAGGTCAAAGTGGGCCCTGGTTCCTAATCCACTCCACACTTGAAGCTGAAATGGGCCAGAAGGCCTGTGACTTGATGACTTTACTATTTTTATCTGTTGCTCCTTTCTAACAACCATGAGTAGGTGAAACTAACACTAAGTCCTAGAGCGTAGGTTTCGTAGGAAATCTAGACAAAGCCTCATCCGCAAAAGTTTCTATTCCATGTGGACCTAACACAGGCCCGAAAGTGCATTATCTGAAGTTCTGTCCTCTGGGCTAGGGCTTACAAATCTCGCATATCTGAAAACTCCCTGATTAAAGGTTTCAAAAGATAGGTATCACCTTCAAAAGACACAGTCCTCAGCCTCCAAGCCATGGGACATCACTGGTCACATGATAAAGGGCTCTGTGGTGGTGGCGGGAATCTCTGCTTCAGCCTGAACAAAACCAGAACAGACACATCAGAGAAGCCGTGCTTTATGCTGGGACTGCTCAGTCTGTGTGCTGACTAAATGGGTTCTTGACGCAGGCAGAGCCCCACAAGGGTGGACAAGGGCAGGTACCTAGTTTTTGGTGTCAGCCTAGGGCAGGGATGCCCCTGAGAGCAGAGAGGAGGTGGGCAGCAGAGATGAGCATCAGCTCAATCTGTATGTGTAAGCCCCCAAAGTGTGACAGATACTGTACTCAGTGAGACAGAGGGAATCCTAATTGAGGCAGAAGATTTGATATGGGCCACCATAATGGCAATGCCGAGTAGCGTAAGATAAAATGCACCAGAGAGATGAACAGAGGCCTCTGTAAGGAGAAACGAGGAGGCAGCCCTAACCAGTTAGAAGACTAAGAAAAGACTTTCAAGAAGAAGCAGTGTTTGATCAAGGCCTCAAGGTGGCCAGAGCATGGACCCCAGGGGTTCCCGTGTAGGGAAAGCAGGCGAGAGAGTAGCACAGTTGGGGGTCTGTGATGCTGGACACAGGGGCACCGAGGGTGGGGACCAAGAGGCGCTGGGGTAGGGGGCCATCCCCGAGGCCGGAGGGCACGGGGAGCCCATGGTGTGTCATTCTCCAGGAAGTGCCAGATTGTGGCAGAGCACACTCGGGACAGTGGCTTAAGAAAGATGTGTCTGAAGAAAAATAAATGGCAGCCAGAGGTGACAGCAGAGACAGAATGTGGACTGGTGCATCCCATCCCAGAGAATGATGAGAAAGGGAGGCCAAGGGAAGGGAAAAAGGAAGGGCCTTGTGATTCCGGGGTGTGGAAGTGGCCAGAGGGAGTGTTAGAGAGAGGATGAGACACTTCCTAAGGCAAAGAAGCAAGACCAGCTGAGGAAGCGTGTTCTGGTTTAACATCTTTGATTGTGCTGGGCTCAAGGCCCTGAGGAAAAGGAAGTCGTCTCTAGGCCCCAGAGAGACATGGCCATTCATCTGCCATGGTAGACTTGGGGGTACAAGCATACCACCCCACTCACCACACCCAAGCTGAAGCAACCCTCTATCTTATACTGCATCTCACCTCTATCTTGCTATAGGGCCAGCGAAGTTACTTCTCTGAAGTGATAGGAAAGCAGGCCCTCTATTCAGGAAATCTCTTCACACCTTTGCCAGCCAAGTAACAGGCTCTCAGTAGCCTGACCAGCTAGCCGTGTCCAAGGCCAACACTTCAACTGCTCCCTCTGGAACTAGGTATTAGGTCCAGAGAATACTTTAGGCAAAATGAACTGCTAGAACAAAGTTAAGAGAGACAAGAGTAATACCAAGATCCAGGCACCACTCATTGGCATTTCCTAAAAAAAAAAAAAAAAAAGAAGAAGAAGAAGAAGAAGAAGAATCTGCTTTGAGACTCAGCAGGAAAATACATTTAAAACTGTGTTATGGTTTTAAATAATATATAAATATATATTACTGCCTCTTGCGATCCTAGTGCTGACCCTCCCTCACACAGAGTGGAAGAGTGTCTCCACTTTTGGGTAATCAAAATGAAAGGGAATAATTTGTCCAAGGGGATTAGAGGTCAAGACAAAACATTAGCCAGTTTTCTTGGCTTTTGCCTTCCTTGTGGATAGGAGACAACTGCTTTTACTCTCAGCCTTCACCCCTCTCTGCCAGAGTGGAGGGCTTTGGAGTCATCTCTGCTTTAGATCAGGTAACTCTTTGTTCAGTCAAAATGTTGAATTTAGAGTTCTAAACTTTAAAACTACAATTTCTGGGTAGCATCTTAAGGGAAAATTGCCTCTCTGTTTCCCAAGGAGGGGGGAAACTGGAAATTCTTTTTTTTTGGAATGCTGTCCTCTGAAATTACCAGGAGGTTAAGAGCTAATGTCCATCATTTCGCTATTAATATTGATTTTAAGCCATTTTAAGTACAACACAGATCCTTAAGAACTGTCAGTTGGTTTTCTTAAGAGAACACTGGGTTTAAAGTCAGAACTAGTTTTCTGTTTGTCACACTCACTGTGTGACCTTAGGCCAGTCGAGTCTCCTCTCTGGGCTCATCTGCAAAGTCAAGATGATACTCTGGATTGTTTGCCTTGGGGTCCCTTAGCAGCTACAAAGTTCTATGATTCTTCTGTGACTCTTCGGCTATTAGACCTGAAGATTTCCTTAGAAATGAGAACCACCCCCTAAAAGAAGGCTTTGAAGGGGTCCTGACAAATTGGGGCCTCAGCCTGTGACTTGGCTTCTGGGAGACTCATGCCAGGCTCTGGGCTGGCGATGCCCCTGAGACCACCTCTGAGGAGCAGGGTCCTACAGCCAGACCCAACATCCAGCCCCCAGCAATTGGACAACATAAGCAGGTGAAGGATGAAAACTGAGTTTACTCCAGAACCCCCCTCCTGCCTTCTGTGACCAAGCAAGATGCCTACGGAAAGCCAGAAGAGTGGGGCCGTGTACTCATGCAGGAGCTACTTTCTTTCTGTTTGATTTTGGGTTTTGTATGCCAAGCACCAATGTGAGCACGTTAACAGCTCTTACTCAGCATGTTGGTCTTCAGGAAGAACCGAAGCTGCCAGAGATTTTTCCCCTGAGCGGGAGTCTTCGTGTTTGGGCAGGAGAGACTAAGAGGATTGCACAATAGAACTAAAAGTCAAGAAAAGGGCTATGTGGGAGAAAGTCTGGGCCCTGCTTAGATCCCAGTAGTCCTGCCCCTGCCCTGGAGTTGACACCAGGCCAGGTGAGTTGGCCACACGGTGTTGCCACAGTGGATGAGAGAGACCCCCAAAAGCAGTGCCACCCATGGCTGCACAGGCCCTGCACCATTCTCATAGACTATAACATTCCTCTCCACACCTGTGTGCAGTGCACAATCTGCACATCTATATAAGTCAGCCGCACAATATGACCTCAAGAAGAGCAAAGGCTAATTGAGGGGTGTAACTCTCTTCTCTCAGTTGCAGACTGTGGAGCCCCGGCAGAGCTGAAACATGGGCTGATTACATTCTCCACCAGGAACAACCTTACCACATATAAATCTGAGATCCAATACTCCTGCCAGCAGCCCTACTATCAGATGCTCCGCAATATCACAGGTGAGCCCTCCATGCTAAACCAGCCCCCTTCCGCCTCTCACCATTGGGGTCTCAGGGCTAGACTGGGGGCTGCAGCACCAGAACACAGGCTGAAGTTTGGGGAGAACTGGGAGGAGAAACATTTGAGGGCATGTCTCACCTCTCCCTGCCATAGGCTGGTGTCCCAGGGGTTAGGGCACAGGGCACCCCAGCACCCTCACATGCACACCCAGAGCCCCTGACAGAGAAGGAACCCTCAGGGAGGTGGCAAAGACCTGCAGTTCTGCCTCTGCCACAGACTGGTGCTAAGAAAATTCTTCCAATTTCTCTAAGCTTCCAAGTCCTCACTTTCCAAAAGGGGAACAGCAGTACAATTCACAGAGCTAATGTAAGACTCAGACAAGATGGTGGACACCAGTGTGGTTTCTTAAAGAGATTATTAAGTGGGGAAAGGAGGAAAGGCAAGTAAGCCACAGAGAACCAGGGTGGGGCTGGCGGGAGGGGGGGGGGCGTGGCAGGTTCCTTAGGGGAAGGAAGTGCCTGCTAGTGGGTGGGGCCAGGCGGGTGTGGGAGGGGTGGGGGGGTGCCAACAGTCAGGCATCCCATTGTGCAGAGCTTCAGCCTCCCTGCTGAAGAGTGTGCTGTTTGTTTTTGAGGGCAATGGGGAGCAGTTTGCAATTCTGAGCAGAAGAGAAAGCCTATATTCCCATTTTAGAAAGATCCTTCAGGTTGCAGGGAGGACTGGCTTAAAGAGAATGGCTTCAGAGAGACCATTTGGAAGACTTACAATTGTCCACCATAGAAGAATTAAAAACCCAGATCTATTTTCTATGTACTACAAATCAACCCTTTCTCCCTCTTCTCTTGCCTTTTTCACTCTCCCAGGTATATACACCTGTTCTGCCCAAGGAGTCTGGATGAATGAAGTACTGGGGAGAAGCCAGCCCACATGCCTGCCAGGTACCTGAGTCTCAAGTCCTCTCTCTCCAGGTCTCCCATCCACAGTGCTTTGGTTGTTGATGGAGTGGGGATGGGGACCATGATGCTTTGGTTTTTTGTTAAAAGATACCTCAGAGAGCCAAAGATAGAGAAGCCCAACCTCACACCTTTGCAAACCAACCAGCCTCTATATTCAGCCTGTGCTATTACACCAAAAGCCTTCCTGTCTCTTTTCTCTGTTAGTTCTGCTCCCTTCCCACCAGGCTTTCCCTGCAAAGGTTTGTGTGTGCACCTCCTGTGCACCAGGGAAATCAGGGAAGTGGGCACCCTGTCCTCAAGCACTAACTGTGCTGTAGAGATTAGCAACATAAGACAAATAATTATAGGACAGAGAAAGAAGTTCTTCCAAAGAGCAACCTATTCAAGTCTTACTGACTGCTATGACCTCATGGTTCACCCACTGACCCCACTTTAAAATAAAAAAAGAATTTTGTGATAATAGAAAGTATCACCATGCATAGAGATTTGGGGGACATTTTGTAGATATTTGCTTTAGCATTAAAAGTATGGGTGATTTTATTGCAATCATAGTGCACACTTATATTCAAATCAACTTACTAGAAAATTATAGCCTCAAATGCACACTGTGGGGTGAAACAAATAATCTGCACCCCCCAAAAAAATAAATAAATAACAGTCATGGCACAGAACTTTATACTTGCAATATAAGCAAGAATAGCAGAATTGATTTAATTAATCAAACGGAACTAATCGAAAGACACAACCCAGACAGCACTGGGGATCGATGCTAATCCCATCTGCATGTTTGCCGAACAGCAGGAGCTTCGCAGTATAGTTAAATGTCGGGTGACATTTGTATTTTATGAATAAGAGCATTGGGAAAACCAGGTGTATTATCTGAATGGTACATTTTAGTAACTCTCAATATCCACTCAGTAAGCTTCTAGATATCAGATTTAGATGTTAAAATGTAAAGACTATGGAGTTGTCTACCATTATCCTTAAGAACCAAAGAAAATGTTAGCATTCCATGTTGGCCATTGCAGTTGCTATGAGATTCTAGAGAAGGAAGAATTCATTCCATGTGGTAGTCTGGGAGTGGAGGGGTGAGAACTAGTTAGGAAGACTTCATTTGGGAGGGCTTTATGATGAAGAAAGAACTTGGAGGAGGTGGAGTGGAGGAAAGGTCAACCCACCTATTCTGTGCTGATCCCCATCATCTCATTTAGGCTTAGCCCGGAGCACACCCAAGGGCACAGTTGATGAACCCTCAGAAAGGATGGAGAATGGTGGAGCTCTGGCAAACTGGAAAAATCTAATTCCCATTTTGTTAAAATATCATGTGGGCCAAAGGAAAAAGCACTTCAGGCAGATTCCATCCCGGGCAGCCATGCTGCAACCTCCTGAAGGGAAAGAGTCATTGAGCTGGGAGTCAGGGGCTTGGGTCCTAGTCCTGGTGCTGTCATTTTCTTATTGTGAACTTTGGTAAGTAATCTCACCTCTCTGAGGCTAGGATTCCATATCTCAGAAGTGAGGGAGCAGGATAAGGCGATCCATGACATTCTATGATCCTTAATGATCATCATCCTCTATATTTACATAAAACATCTTGGAGACAGGGAGTCATAAAATTCTTTTAATACCTGGTGTTGGGAAGAACCACGGTTCACCATGGGACCATGCAAGAGATTTCTAAATTCTTCCCTCTTAAAACATCAACATTGAACACAGAAACAAGCCAGAAAGGAAAAAGCCATTTTTATCTAGCATCATTATATCCACTTTTCCAAGGAATCTTATTAAGCAAATATTATTTGTTCTTCATTTGACATGCGAGAAAACTGAGGATCAGTGAGGGGCAATGACTTGTCCAAGGCTACCCACGGAGTTAGGGGCAGAGCTGGAAGATGAAGCCAAGACTTTGATATCAACACAAGCAATGCTGAGCCATTCTTGACTCTGATTGTGTTTCATGATATCCTCATGGACCCAGGATTCTAAAATAACACAGTTTTGTTTTAAGGGCCCTCCCTCAGTACCTCCAGGGCTCTAGAGCCCAGCTCTAGTTTTTCAAGAAGATTCCTTTATTCCAGGAAAGACTGGATGGAGAATGATAGCAGCCAAAAGAATGGCCTCATTTCAGTGAGCTCTCACAAGGCTTGTTGCATCATTCAAACTCTTGAAAGTACAAAAGCATATCAAGAAGAAAAACAGACTTTAGTGGAGAAAATGATTCAAGAGTTACAAGAAACAGGCTCTTCTTCTGGCTCTGTCACTAATGACTTTGAGTATGTCACTTGCCTTCTCTGAACCTCGATTTCTACATCTGTAAATTAGTGGTTCTCCAAGCTTCTGCAGCTCTGACACTGGAGAAAGGCACTGCTCAGTGCTGGCTTTGTTGTAAGCATGGACTCAGCCACAATCCTGGCCTTCACCAGTTGAGGGTGTTTCAGCACTAAATGAGCTATTGTGTTGGGCCAATCACAGATCGCCTTGAGATGTCACCTCGTAGGCTGCAGCTTGTAGCCAAGAGCCTGGCCTTCCACTCTGAAAGACGAGGCAACAGAAAGTTAGCAAAGGTCAGCTCACATCTGGCCTGGTGTGAATGACAGGGTGCCTAAGGATCATGGAAGAAGCCTTTGGCTTCAGGAAGAAGAACATCTGAAAAGCATTAGGTTGCTGAAAGCCTGACATCCCAAAGTTCCCAAGAAAATTCAAATGTTCCTTGGCCTTTGAAGGATCTTTGAAAGTATCCAGGACCAAAGAGTGTAGCCTGGCCATTTACAAGCAGGAAGAAGCCAACACTCATGCCAGGCTTACCTCTCAGGCCTAATAACCCTGCTGGGAAGGCTCATGTGAGCTTGTTCTTAGCCAGCGGAGGAGTGGTGCTGAAGACCCCCTGTTCATGGGCTAAAGGCATTTGGCTGCAGGAGGCTGGTGGTGCATGTGCATGCTCGGGGTACAACTCAGTGGAACGAAGTTTGATCAGACCTTTCTTCTTCCCCTGAAGGTACTACAGGGTTCCTGGGTGCAATGATGGGAGGCCCAGAGTAGGGCCTATGCATCATTGCTTGTAGATTATGCCACCTCTCCCTAACCCTGGGTATGCTGGGCACGCATTCACAGCTTGAGTCCTTTAGGCTGAAGAAGAAAAAGTTGCAGAGCCCATGACCATGATTTTTATGTGTAATAAGGCACTGTGGGATATAGGACAAGACATTATCCTATATATAGATGGGACAAGATATAGCCCTCTGCTAATGTCCCTGTTAACTTCATAGCCATGTGACCTTGGGCTAATTGTTTAACATCTGGAGAGTTTTACTCGCCTATAAAATGGGGGTGACCAGGGAAGATGAAATAAAAATTGAGGGAATTTGGAATTTGAAAGAGCCACAGAGCTCATACTGACCAACTTCCTCATTTAGCAGATCAAAAATTTAAGTCCAGACAGACGAATCTACTTATCTAAGGTTGCACAGGACATAAGAAAGAAAAGCCAAGTCAAGGCCCTAGTTATCTTGGCTCCCAGTCCAGTGTTTGCTGTGACCTGCCAGACAGTCTTTTAGTTTCCTTCTCTCTCTCAAAGCCCATGACCTATGGTTTCCAGAAGTTTTCTAAGTATCCATACAGCATGGGCCACTTCTGGAATATGAGATCATCCAGGCCAAAGCACACTTAGCTGGAAATGGTTCAGGATGGTGGAGGCCCGTGCATACAATTGTCTGATCCATAGATGGCACTGGCTACAGAAGGGCCAGTCCATGCACAGGCCAACTAGAAAGACTTAGGTCAAAGGTCACACCCATGCAGAGATCCCCGGGGCCACCATGGCCCTGTGATGTAGAATAGGGTCCCATTGTGGCATAATCTACAGTGGATGAGATGTGAATTTCTTCTGGTGGCTCTTTGCAAATGGCTGATCTGACCAGTCTCTGTCTCTTGTCCCCATTTCCTCCTTTTCTTTACAGTGTGTGGTCAGCCCTCCCGCTCTCTGCCAAACCTGGTCAAGAGAATCATCGGGGGCAGGAATGCTGAGCCTGGCCTCTTTCCATGGCAGGCCCTGATAGTGGTGGAGGACACCTCGAGGGTGCCAAACGACAAGTGGTTTGGGAGTGGGGCCCTGCTCTCTGAGTCCTGGATCCTCACAGCAGCCCACGTGCTGCGCTCCCAGCGAAGGGACAACACAGTGATACCGGTCTCCAAGGAGCATGTCACTGTCTTCTTGGGCCTGCATGATGTGCGGGACAAATCGGGGGCTGTCAACAGCTCTGCAGCCCAAGTGGTGCTCCACCCAGATTTCAATATCCAGAACTACAACCACGACATAGCTCTGGTGCAGCTGCAGGAACCTGTGCCCCTGGGACCCCATGTCATGCCCATCTGCCTGCCAAGTCCTGAGCCTGAAGGCCCAGAACCCCACATGCTGGGCTTGGTAGCGGGCTGGGGTATCTCCGATCCTAATGTGACAGTGGATGAGATCATCAGCAGTGGCACACGGACCTTGTCAGATGTCCTACAGTACGTCAAGTTACCCGTGGTGCCATATGCAGAGTGCAAAACCAGCTACGAGTCGCGGTCGGGGAACTATAGCGTCACAGAGAACATGTTCTGTGCTGGCTACTATGAGGGTGGCAAGGACACGTGCCTTGGAGACAGTGGTGGGGCCTTTGTCATTCTGGATGACTTGAGCCAGCGCTGGGTGGCCCAAGGCCTGGTGTCCTGGGGGGGCCCCGAAGAATGTGGCAGCAAGCAGGTCTATGGGGTCTACACAAAGGTCTCCAACTATGTGGACTGGGTGTGGGAGCAGATGGGCTCCCCACAAGGTCTGGGGGAGCTACAGGTGGAACGGTGAACTGACTGACATCCTCAGGGCCTGCCTGCCTGCACCCAGCCCAAGAGAGGCTGTACACGCACTTTCGATGGCACACTCCAAGTTACTCAGCAGACCAAATGGAATGGAACACGCTGTCCCCATCCTCCCAAGACAGCCCCTGGGGCTCTGAAAAGGCTTCACACAAGACGCCTGGGTCCATGGCCCTGAGCAAGCCCATTCCCCTCGTAGGCCTCACTCTCCCCGCAGCACAATGAGGGAACTAGCCCTCTGGCCAATCCCAGCACTCCTCTCAGGAGGTCTTGACCCAGTGGCCTTATGCACTCCTACTCACCTACCAAACATTCCGGTCCCACTGTTGGTGTGCTTGAGCTCAGACTTGACTATTAGAAAATCTTACCTTATGTTGAGTTGAATGCTGAGTCCATATATTTTCCTAAATCAGCCCTCGGCACAGACAAGTCTAGTCCCTTCTAGGGGAAAAGTGCTCGGGCTTCAGGAGATAGGGATGAGACCTCCAAGGCCCCGTCTCCTAGTGTGATGTCTTGGAGTACTTTTGTTCCTTGGATTTTTCTCCCCAAAGCTTCTTATAGTCCAAGCCTTATCCCTGTGTTCTCTATTAAAGGAACTCTCTCTATTAAAGGACAAAGAGAAAGCTGGAAAAGTTTGTGGTGACTAGGGGCAAGAGACTATCAGTGGGAGGTTCCCCATCTCTGATAACTTCCTATCGCCAATTCTGAACACATCATTTAGACTCATAAATCACTCTCCAATACCAGCTGACAACACAGGTGTCTACACCTGCCACTCCAGACAAGCATGAAGCAAACTTCCAGCTCTGATGTGTATCATCTGAAAAGGCCACCTGAGCCCCAGCCCCAGGCACAGAGACTCAACTGGATTGTCTAGAAAAAGAGAAGACAAACATGCCCCGCTGTGCTTCTGAGCAGGAAAATGGAACAAAGAGTGAGCTCAGGACATTAGGAGCAACCTGATCCCACCAGACTGCCCAGTGTGCCTGCAGTCTGAGCTCTTCAGAGAATCCACCTGGCATGGACGTTCAGAAAGATCCACTCCTTTGGTTTTCAGGAGCCAGACAAGGGAAGACGAGACTTGCCCATGAAAGGACAGCCAAGAGTGCTGAGTTCTAGCCTCAGCTCTGCCCCTAACTGGCTGTCTAACCTCTCACAAATCACTTTCCCTTTGTGGGCCTCAGTTTCCATCTGTAAAAGGAAGACATTAGATCCCCCTCAGGGTCCTTCTAACTCTAGCTTTCAGTCTTCTGATTGCCAGCAGCCTCTCCTCTGAGCCTCACAAGGTCCTCCTCTCCAGAATTTGCTCTTCTGGGTATTCTCCATCAGAGAGAGGCAGCCAGAGAAGTCCTGAGAGGGATTCCAAGAGAACAATTGTGAAGTGTCAATTTTTCCAATTGGTTCATGAAAGCACACTCCTATGTCTATGAACAGTACATGTAGAGGGTGCTATATTTTGTATATTTTATATCACAAGCTTCTCTGCACTCTGTTTCTCCTATAAGGGGTCTGAAGTGGAAATAAACTCTCTGTGGATAACCAACAGCCTTCATTCTGGGGTTTGATGGTTGTTTGTTTTTTTAATTTAATTTTATTTTTTCAGTGTTCCAAGATTCATTGTTTATGCACCACACCCAGTGTTCCATGCAATACATGCCCTCCTTAATACCCACCACCAGGCTCACCCATCCCCCCACCTCCTCCCCTCCAAAACCCTCAGTTTGCTTCTCAGAGTCCACAGTCTCTCATGGCTTGTCTCCCCCTCCAATTTCCCCCAACTCCCTTCTCCTCTCCACCCCCCTGTGTCCTCCGTGTTATTCCTTATGCTCCACAAATAAGCAAAACCATATGATAATTGACGCTCTCTGCTTGACTTATTTCACTAAGCATAATCTCTTCCAGACCCATCCATGTTGATACAAAAGTTGGGTATTCATCCTTTCTGATGGAGGCATAATATACCATTGCATTTGTGAATCATATCTTCTTTATCCATTCGTCTGTTGAAGGGCATCTTGGCTCTTTCCACAGTTTGGTGATTGTAGCCATTGCTGCTATGAACACTGGGGTACATATGGCCCTTCTTTTTACTACATCTGTATCTTTGGGGTAAATACCCAGTAGTGCAATTGCAGGGTCATAGAGTAGCTCTATTTTTAATTTCTTAAAGAATCTCCATATTGTTTTCCAAAGTGGCTGCACCAACTTGCATTCCTACCAACAGTGTAAGAGGGTTCCCTTTCCTCTACATCCTCTCCAACACTTGTTGTTTCCTGTCTTGCTGTCTTGTTAATTTTGGCCATTCCAACTGGTGTAAGGTGGTATCTCAATGTGGTTTTGATTTGAATTTTGATTTGAATGGCCAATGATGATGAGCATTTTTTCATGTGTCTGTTAGCCATTTTTATTGATGATTGTTAATGCTTGTTTATTTGGCTTTTTGAAGAGAGACTGGCCCCTCGTTAAGCTCCTATCCCTCTCATTACAGAAAAGGTACAACTTTAGTCATCTGGACATCATCCAAGAAGGGGTGATGAGGAATGGGGTCAGTTTTGGAATGTGTCCCTCTAAGCTATACATGCCTTCACTCAAGTGCCTGCTGTTTAAGCCCTTGACTTCAAAGAGCCCAAACTGGCATGCAAGACAGGGTCCCATGCATGTAAGTCTCACAAGGGTGAAAGCCATCAAGTGTCATAAGAGGACTAGAGATTGCAGCTCTCTAGGCACTTAAAGGTGGGGGAGCATCACTGAAGGGGATCTGGAGAGCTTTGTGGAGATGCTGCAAAGAATGCAGGAGACAGTAGAGAAGGGCCAGAGTGGATGAAGATCAAGCAGAGAAACCTGCATGAGTAGAGCAGGAGCAGTGGGGAATCAGGGAGAGTGGAAGGCGTCTTAAAAGCCATACTATGTTTGCACTCTGTCCTGTAACCAGTGATTCTCCTAGTGGGAGTATATCAGAATCACCTGGAGTGCTTGTTAGAAATTGCAGGGTCTCATCTGCAGGGAACTCTGAATAGGCAGACCGGATGGTGGGCATCACAGGGAAGTGGTGGAAAGCACTCCGGAAAGAGACAGTGAAAACCCACCAGACCAAGGCTAAGCTGGTGCAGATGTGGGTGCAGGAGTTTAAAACATCCAAGTAGTGCGTTCAGTGGGGCTTGTGTATAGGAATCCTATGAAATGGTGCAGATGTGAGGATGGGGAGGCAGGTGCACAGCTAAACTGTTAGTGAGGCTTCTCCATGGATGCACTCATGGTTGCCTTTGTTTCAGGTTTGTATCATAATGAAAACATCATGTTTTTTACACTGTTAACTAGAAGAATCCTAAATTGTGCTTGACATTTTACATGTAGCTGGTCTTAAGGATTATCTGTCTTGGGTTCTACTGTCTTTCAGATTTTCTCTTTCTTCTAGATATTTATGTTGTGGCATATTTGAAACACTGAGGTACCATGGGTTACATGGAAAGCACTCCGTGACATAGTGTGGAGGAAACAGATTACTCGTTGCTTCTTCTGGTGATGTTTTACCAGCTTAGGGACTGACTGAACATGGGGGCTGAAGGAAATGGAGGCAACCAAGATGTGGTCTATGTGGGTCTTAACAAGCATCTGGAATGTCAGAGAGGAGAAGGTCATGAGCAACCCAGCTGGAGATGTAAGGAAGGAATAGCAAGAAAGGAACCACTCAGAGGACATAGCAGGTCAGAGATATGAATCTGAAGTCCATCAGGCTATAGGATAGGCAGTAGGGTGGGACAGGAGGAGACTGGTATTAACTACCACAAGTGTGCAGAAGAGCAGGCCAAGGTCTGATCAAGGGGACCCCAGAATGGAAGGCATGGAGAAAAGAGAAACTTCAAGAAAGAGACCAAAAAGTGGTCAGAAACACAGGAAGAGAAGTGCTTCAGAAGCCAAGAAGGGAGCATGTGGAGGGTTAAAGTAGTCGAGAGTGCCAATGCCACAGGACATTCTAGAGGACAGGCAGGACATTCCCAATGGACAAGGATCCAGCCTCTACTGTCAACACTGAAAGGATTCAGGAAGCAGGCCCTCTGCTGTGTTTAAAGTCTCCAGCTCTCCCTCCTTCTTCTCCTCTTCCCCTTCCTCCTCCTTGTCCTCCTCCTCCCCCTCTGCCTCCTTCTTTCTTCTCCTCCCCCTTCTTCTTTCTCCCCCACCCTCCTCACCCTCTTCCTTCTCTTCCCCCTCCTCCTCTGTCTTTCTTCTCCCTCTCCTCCTCCCTTTTCTCCTCCTCTCCCTCCTTCTCCTTCTTTCTTCTCTCTCTCTTTCTCCTCCCACCCTCCCTCCTCCCCCCACCCCCACCGTGTCCAGACTTCTGCTAGGTTTATCTCTCTCCCAAGGCAGGAAACTATCCTTACATCTTCCTTTCTCTGTGACTTAGAGTAAAAACCTTATGATGGTATGCTTAGTCCTCTGGGTTTTGGCTCCTTGAAACCTACAAATCTTTTACCACAATCCCTGACTCTTCAAATGAAAATTTGCACTTCCAACTTTGGTTTCTGCTTTGCTCCTTCAAAACTCAAAGTTGTAGCCAGCCTCACCTAAAACAATGGGTGCTCCACCTTTAATAATAGGGAGACAGAGGGCAAGGGGAATCCTGGAAATGAGGACTACATGAGAGGAAATTTCAAACAGTATCTTCCTACACATGTAAAGAGCACTGTTGAAGTCCCATGTATGGACCCAGAGCCATTCTACCTCCATCTATGATTGTGGATCTATTAAATGTCCAGTTAAATGTCTTTATTCCCAAGAGTGTGCAGAGCCTGGCACTTTCTTCTTCCAAATCCACCTCCAAAGGAGAGGGAAGGATGTAGAGACTGAGTGTCAACTCCTCTTTCTAGAAGCTTGGCTATGGAAAGGAGGAGAGGGAGAGACTATGGAACAAATGAGAAGCCAGGAAATCAGAAGTATGGTTTTAGGGTAAGAAGACTTGGCCATGTTTTGGAGGCATAGGCAAAGGAGAGATTCAAGATGCCAGAGGGGTGAGAATCCCCCAAGCCAGGTTCCCAGTAGTGTGGAAGTGAGGAGATCCAAAGTCCAGAATTACTTTTGAAGAGAAAAAAAGTTTACAGAGGGGACAGATGGAGAAAGAATGCTTGGGGGAGTTCCCACCCAGTGAATTCTGAGATTCTGCTGGGAATGGGGACAGGACATTAGCTGGGGCAGTGGCCAAGGACATGTAGAATGAAACTACTGGGAGATGCTGAAGATGCATCCCAGCCCTATCAGGAGCTTGGTGACAGCTACAAAGAAGGCAGATGGTGACCTGGATCAGGCTCAGGGAATGAGTGCTCTGGGAAGTCACATAGGTAAAAGTTAGTGGTGCTGGCCAGGGTAGGAAAGGCCCAGAATTCAGAAGACCTAGAATGAGTCTTGCCACTAACTCACAGAGTAACTTTTGGCAAGTTAATTCCCTTCTTAGGGCCTCAGTTTTCTTAGCTCTGCAATGAGAGGAATGGACTAGATGGTCTCAGAGCGCTGTTTAGCCATAAGATGTTGTGTATCTATGTCTGTAAATCCAAGTCAGTGGAAACAATATGGAGCAGGAAGACTCTTAGAGGGGTCTTCAACCCCCAAGGCCCTGAGGAAGGGCTTCTTTGGGAAGAGATCCCTGTGGGTAGAGCATGAAAATTCTTTATTAGTCAGGATTCTTTCATTCATGAGAAAGAAATCCAATGCAAACAGCTTATAGGAAGGAAGGTGGGAGGGAGGGAGAGAGAGAGAGAATTATAGGCTCACGAAGCTAAAATGTCCATATCACGAGGCATCAGTTATGGTTAGATCAAGGAATGCAAATATCAGGATACAATCTCCCTCTTGCTTTACTCTTCATCTTCTAGACCAACTTTTTTCCATTAGTAGCATCATTCTCAGAAGACTCTCAATGAAGTAATCATAGGCAAATTTTGGCTTATAGACAGCAGCCTAACAACCTCAACAGGAAGGGCCTTCTCCTTTTTAATATGGTTAGCAAAATTCCCAAGGCAGACTTTCATTGGGCTGGCCGGAGTTACAGTCCCATCTCTGAGCAATCATCCCCAAAGCATGAGGTGATTTAATTCATCAGGTCAGTCACCTTCCTACCTCTAGAATCAGAGGTAAGATCATTTCAACTCAAGACATATGGACTAAGAATGGAAGGAGAATGGACCCCAGAGGAAAACTGAGGCACTGTTACTTAAAAGAGCAATGAATTCTAGGAAAACAAAAATAACATATGTTCCTAAGAGAGGGTGATGAGGGATGCCTAGGTGGCTCAGTCAGTTAAGCGTCTGTAGTTAAGTGTCTGCCTTCAGCTCAGGTCATGTCCCCAGGGTCCTGGGTTTGAGTCCCGCATCAGGCTCCTTGCTCAAATACATAAAAACAGAGGGTGTTGAGCTGGTAGCTCTGGCAAAGAGTAAGATGAAGCCCAGAGTGTGATCTGTCCCTCCTTCCTTTGGCTGCAGTGTGTGGGGTCCCCAAGTTCTCCCGGAAGCTGATAGCCAGGATCTTCAATGGACGCCCAGTCCAGA